AAAAAGGTAAGTATGGAAATTACTAGGGTAATTTAGTGGGTGAAAAGAAGGGGGAAGGAATAGGAAAGATTCAATGGGACTTGAAAGATAGTGCAATAATAGGCATGTTGTTGTTGTTGAGTATCATAGAGTCGAAATCGTCCCAGAGCTTACCCTCCAGTGTGTTTTCAGAGGCAGTTAATCGCATGGGAAGAGATTGTCCATCCATCTCCCATGGTGGATTCGAACCCCATGCCTTTGGGATTGCAGGGCAGATTCTTACCACTAGGCCACCAGAGCTCCCTAATAATAAGCATGGATCAGTAATAATTAATTATATAAAATATAATGAGTATGAATGATTGCATGAAACAATATAAATTAAAGATTATACAAAACAATGTGTCTATAAAAAGAGTGACTATGAATCTGAAAAATCTTTATCTTAAGAGTAGAAATTATGGGAGGTTTCTAAGCAGCTATGACGCTTTCCTATAGATTGTATCTGCGTTTTTCCAAGCCAGGAACTGAGGCAGAAGATCAGAGCCTGCACACTCTTGAGAAACTCAATATTCTAAAGTTGCAGTTCTCTTGAGAGAACCTTGCTAAGGAGCCTAGCTTTAATGTGAAGGTGGAGCTCAGAAATTATAGTTGCCCTAAAGGTAGTATTTCCTATAATCTTCAGGATCAAGGGACCTTTACATTTATCTCTCTAGAGGTACTTGAGGTCAGGTTGGAGATCTCAATTCCTACCACCAGTTACAGGGCTCAAGGCAAGTCACGTCGCCTCTCGAAGGCTCAGCTTCTCCAACTGAATGATGAAAAGATTGGACTAAGTTGATCTTTGAGGGTCCTTCTACTTATAAAAATTGTGTGATTCTTATAGTGTTGATAATCTTTACTTGAATCCTACTTCTTTGGCAAAATGTAGAAGAAATGTTCAGCAGTGCAAAGAATGACAGAGACTATTGACCATGTAGTTTCATTTATTTAAGGCATATACACTGAATTCAAAGGAGAAAATATTGCTCCCAATAACATATTGAACTGTTAGTATCTTCAGCATAGCAAAAGCTTTCCAGAGGGACAAATTACACAACAGTGCAAACTTGACATTTTATACTTGTCGATCCATACCCGCCATTTGTCCAGTAATATTTGCTGGAAGGTGCCACTAGCATGTATTCTTTGGATGAATATTAAGTAACTACATAAACATCAAGGTCATAGTTAAAAAAAGACTTCGCTGAAGGGCCTGGAAGGTTTGCATTGATCTCCTGTGAAGTTCCATTCCTGAATCCTGCTGACAAGGGGAAACAATTGATGTGGACCATTATTAAGGCTTTAAGTGTTTCTCCATTGTTAAAGATCTTTTACAAGCCCAGAGTAACTGATAGTGCCCAAGGAATTGGCAAAAACTTCACTTAGAAATATAGGCTGGTCAAAGAGATAAGTAAAACCAGAGTGGAGGCGTCCTGGGTTGGGCTTACACCACAAAGGTACAGGGATGAGGAGAGCCCAGGGACATACTGCACGGGCAAGACTCTGGTTCACTGAGTTAAGAATGGAAGGCTTGTTCTGGCCTCTGTCACTCCAGAAGCTGCAGAGAGAGTAACTCCCTCTTTCAAATCCACCTTTCGATTGCTTGCTGCTCCTCTCAGGCAGTGAAATCCTCCTTTTCTGGCTTTGCAGTTCATCCTTTCTCCGTAGTGGCAGCAATGATCCTGGAAGTGTCTGGGGAATAAAGGCTCCATGAATTATGCAGATCCACAGCCCTAGACCGACTGTCTGGACTGGTCAAATGCCCCAGATAATTATGTAAATGTCCTGGTGACCTGAAGCTGGGAGGAGAGCAAATATTGTGAATGACAGAATCTGCTTTCAGAAATATCTCAACAGACTGGAGGGACTGGCCACTTCTATTAAATGAACATAGGCAGTGATGTAAACTCTAAAACTACCATTTCCTATGTAATAGTTGTATGTTAAGGGAGCTCTGGTGGCCTAGCGGCAAGGAGCTGTGCTGCAATCCCAAAGGTACACAGTTCAAATCCACTAACTGCTTCTTGGGAGAAAGATGGGCAGTCTCCTTCCATGGGGTTAAAACTCTCTGAAGCTATTAAAACTCTCTGAAAACCCACTGGAAGGTCAGCTCTGACTTGATGGTACACAACAACAACACCTGTATGTTAAGCATTCCCCTGGTGGCACAGTGTGTAATTTATCAGGCTGATAACCCAGTCAGTTGTTTGAATCCATCAGCTGCTCCACTGGAGAAAGTTTATTTCATTTATTATTTATATTCATTTGTTATTTCAGTTTGTCAGTCACAGTGTTCATATAAGCTGAGTCCCCACCTCCTGTTCCTCGTTTTGCCTCCGTACCACCTCTTCCCCACCACACTGCGTTCTGCCTCTCAGCTTGTTCCCCAAAGAATTGCAGGCCCCGCCTTGATCCATGGGCTTCTGGGAAGCATGGGCATACCTGTGGTGTGTGTGTTGGGGGGAAGCTGAGTCCCTTCATCCTGCTTGGACCAGGAGGCAGTTGTCAAAACAGAGCAAGGAAACAAACACTGCATGGTTCAAAATCAGGAAGGGTGTATGCTAGGGATGTGTCCTATCTCCATATCTTTCCAATCTACAAGTAGAACAGATATCCAGGGGGCTGGGCTCTGAGGAGAAATGTGACATCAGAATTAGAAGAAGACTCATCAACAATCTGCGTTATGCAGATGACAAAACCCTGCTTGCTGAAACTGAGGAGGACCTGAAGCACTTGCTGCAGAAGGTCAAGTACTGCAGCCTTTAATATGGATTGAAGCTCAATATCAAGAAAACAAAGATTCTCATGACTGGGCCAAATTGGCAGCATCATTATGGATGGTGAAGAGATTGCGATTGTCAACAGCTTTAGTTTGCTTGGCTCCACAATCAACACTTTTGGCACCAACAGCCATGAAATTAAAACATGAATTGCATTGGGAAAATCTGCTGACAGAGACCTTTCCAAAGTACTAAAGAACAATGGTGTCAGTCTAGAGACTAAGATGCACCTGATACAAGCCATAGTCTTTACAATTACTTGTTATGCATCAGAGAGTTGGGCAATGGCAGGGATGATAGGAGAATTGATGCCTTTGAGCTGTGGTGTTGGAGAAGAGTATTAAATATACCATGGGCTGCTAAGAGAGCAAACAGTTCATCCTGGAGAGGGTAAAATTAGGCTGCTCCTCAGAGGCAAGGATGCTGAAGCTTCATCTGACCTACTTTGGGCATGTTGCAAGGAGGGACCAGTTGTTGGAGCGGGACATCATATTTGGGAGGGTGGAGGGATAATGCAGGAGAGGAAGACCATTCGTTGAGACGGATTGATTCAGTGACTCAGGTAGGTGTGTCGGAGACAATGAGATTGGCACAGGACAAAGCAGAGTTTAGGACTGTTGGACATAGGGTCACTATAAGTCTCAAGTGACTTGACAGCACATAACAACAACAACAGGGTTCATGAATCATAGTCAAATTGACATCACCTAACAGCAATGGTAAAGGTAGGTCTTTGTATCCTAAATTTAAAATGAAGGCACTGAGACATGACAGTTTAGAGACATTGCAAAGGCCATGCATTGATGTAGATTTCAATCCCAATTCTGCATCTCAGCTGGCAAGTTTATTTTTTACAGTTAGCAGTGGCTTAGCTTTATACTTGTCTTTTATGGCTCATTTTTATGTGCTGAGTCCTTTTTGTTTATCATCTCACTTAATTTTTAAATCCTTAGAACCATATAACTAGGTAGGCACTATTACGACTTCTAGTCTACAAATAAGCTTGGAAGGAGGAGTGGCATCCACTTCCGTAACAGCTTGCCTCCGGAAACCCTATGAACCTGGAGAGAGGATGAAAGGCAACCAAGCGTCGAGGACTCTCCTTCATAGGGTTGCTATGAATTGCCTGTGACTCAATGGCACTGAACAACAAGTCTACAAATGCGGTGGTGGTTGCTACGTGTCATCCACAGAACCAATTCATAGCTGACCCTCCAGCAGGTTTTCAGAGGCTGTAAATTGCAGAGGAAGAATGCCCATCTTTCTCCTGATTCTACAGATGTTTCGTCCTGTTGTATTATGCACCATAGAATCAAAACCTACTCAGCGCTGACTTTCCAGTGGGGTTTTAGAGGCTGTAAGTCTTATGGAAAGAGATTACCCATCTTTCTTCCCAGAGCAGCTGGTGGACTTGACCTGCCCACCTTTGAGTTGGCAGCACAACTCTGCACCACTAGTCCACCAGAACTCCCATCCTACAAATGAGGAAGGTTCAAGTAACATATATCTTGTTCAAGGTCACACAGTAAAGTGTAGAGCCTAGATTTGAACCCGGGAAGTCTACTGCAATATCCATACTGTAAGCAACTTTTATATCTTATTTTTTATAGTATGAAAAAGAAACAACCATATTTTCTGTGAGAATTAGGTAAGTTTATACAATGCCTCCATTAGTACCTGGTGTTCATATAAATGATCTGATTGCTGATATTAGTTAAATTACTCACTTAAGGTTATAGCCATTAAGTGTCAAAATGAGATTTGAACTTAGTAGATCTCATGACTGAAAAGGGAGCACTGGTGGCTCAGTGGTAAGAAGACACCCTGCAATCCTGAAGGAACATGGTTCTAATCTAACAGTTACCCCATGGGAGGATGGACCAGTTCCCCCCCCCCAACCCCACCTTGTGCAATTAACTGCCTCTGAGAACCCACTAGGGAGTTAGCTATGGGTTAGTTCCAACTTGATGGCACACAACAGTAACATCTCCCTTTCTGAAGGACATTATTGAAGATGGTACCATCTAGCTACCTATGCCAGCAACATCTCTCTATGGAAGATGCTAAGTGAGTGCTCAGATAGGCTGGGGTTGTTGTGTCATTCACCAGACATTTGCTAAGGGCCTGCTCTCTGCTGGGCTGGAAGCCAGTGCTAGAAGAGAAAGAACACAGTGCTAACTATCCTTTTCTTTCCCTCAGGTTCGCATGGTGAAAGACGAGGACCCTTCCTGGAAGCCCACTTTTATTGTAAAACCTGATGGTGGTTGTCAAGGTGATGGAATCTACCTCATTAAAGATCCCAATGACATCCGCCTAGCAGGAACCCTCCAGAGCAGACCCGCTGTGGTCCAGGAGTACATCTGCAAACCTCTCCTCATTGACAAGCTGAAGTTTGATATTCGTCTGTATGTCTTACTAAAGTCCTTAGACCCCTTAGAGATTTATATTGCCAAAGATGGACTCTCTAGATTTTGTACCGAGCCATATCAGGAGCCCAGCCCTAAAAATTTGCACCACATCTTTATGCACTTAACCAACTATTCCCTGAATATCCACAGTGGTAACTTCGTCCATTCGGACAGTGTTAACACAGGCAGCAAGAGGACTTTTTCTAGCGTTCTTTGTAGGCTGTCTTCCAAAGGTGTTGACATCAAGAAGGTCTGGTCTGATATCATCTCCTTGGTGATTAAGACTGTCATTGCCCTGACTCCAGAGCTCAAAGTGTTCTACCAGTCGGACATCCCAGCAGGGAGGCCGGGGCCCACGTGCTTCCAGGTAACCAATGCCAGTTCCAAGCTCAAGTTCTCAATCTTGACAGGGTCCAGAGAGACTTTTAGATCTCAGGTGGGATAAGAGATGGGGATAGGATGGATGGCCAGAGGGGGATAGAGGTGGTTTCCAGTGTGGACCTTAAACCTGTGTCCATCTCTCAGCTCTCTGCATGCTAGCTGTGTGAGTTGAGGCTAAATATTTTCCTTTTCTCATCTGTAAAATGAGACTAATAATACCTGCCTTAACAAACCTTACATTAATTAAATAGCATACATAAATCCAAGTGCCTACCATTTGTTGATTCATTCTTTCATCAGTTTTTGCTACATGCCTAGGAGGAGTCAGGCACTGTCCTTAGACATTAGGGGTATAACATTGAAATGGCAGCCCTTAATATAGCAGTCCTTGTTCCTTAGTGCATTAAGCCTATTGTGGGAGACAAATACATTTGAAAGCAATTATTACAAGTGTGATAAGTGTTAGGAGCTTTGGTGACAGAGTCCGGAGGGTGTTAGCACTGCTGATCCAAAGGCTATACCCCTCGGCAGTTCGAATCCACCAGGAACTCTGTGGGAGAAAGATGGACAACTTCCTTTTGTATGTTTCATGGCTTTGGAAACCCCCTGGAGTATCGTCTGTGAGTCATCTTGGGTGTTGTGTGTTTGGGTTTTTTTAAAGTTTTAAGTGTTAGAGTTGTACACCTGTGAGATTGTGGGACATTTTCTGGGTAGGGTGATGCTAAAGTATGTTTCCCAGAAGAAGTAACAGTTAAATTGAAACCTGAAGTAAGAGTTAGAAGATCAGCAATATTTACAGAGTTAAGAGGGAGCATGATGTGTTGTAGGAAGAGAAGGAAGTTCAATGTGATTAGAGGGAAAGGTTTAAGACAGAGATGTGGAAGAAAAGGAGAGAGAAGGCTCCAGAGGTAAGTATAGACCAAGGCATGGAGTCTCCAAGGAAAGTGGGAGACTGAAATATTTTAAGCAGGTGACTGATGTATTCAGATTTTCTTATAACAGAGAACAGTCTACAGTATGGGGTTGGACAGAAACAAGGCTGAAAGCCAGGAAGTCATTAATGAGGCCATTTCTTTCATATAAACAAGAGAGAGCGCTGGCTTGGATTAGAAAGATCTTGATGCAGATGAGGAGAAAAGGTAGATATGAGAGCCATCTAAGAGACAGAATGACTTGAGTTAGTGAGTGACTGAGATGGAGAAAAAGAGGAGGGATTGCTGCAGCGAGGGAAAGATGAAATCAGGTGACGCGCACTTGGGAGGGTGGATTGAGGCCGTGGCAAGAGGGCCAGGCCTGAAAGATTTGGAGTTGTACTTAAAGATATTTTAAGTACGTGTGTGATATTCAAATGGAGACATTTATTACACAGATTCTCCCCATCTCCACCATGATGCATAGTTGGGCCTTTAGGAGAGAGGTCTGGACTGGAGAGAAATATTAAGAACTCATCAGCGTTCAGATTGTAACTGAAGCTGTGAGAGGCTATAGTGTAAGAAAAGACTTGAGAAGAGGCCTGTAGGCACCGACATGCTGTTAAGGGACAAGCAGAGGAGGAGAAGACAGAATAGACAATCTGTTGGGAGAAGAGGTGTCCTGGACACCAACGTGCTTGTGGGGCAGGTCAGCTCTATCAATGCTGCAGAGCTTCCCAAGCAAGACTCAGGCTGAAACCATTCAGTCAGTTCCAGTGCAAGGACAATGAGAGGGACAACTAATTTTACAAGGGAGATAATGATGTCTGATTTCCTCCCGTCCCCAGTGCTAGTTAGTTACTACCTCCACAGTCTCCCTAGAATCCCTGCCTGTATGTCTATGACCTGAGAACATTGGGAACAGATGCAGAGATGTGCAGTCTATGGCATAAATCCTTCTTTGTACTGTGACTGCTACTGGGATGTGAGAACTCCATCCATGTTACACAAACAGACACTACTTCAGCTGGTTCCTTTTCAGGCTTGAGCTTCATAAAGTTTCCTTTGTGTCCAATTTAGAAGAGCTGTTTAAGAAAAGGCCAGGAGTATTTTACCCTGGAGACAGTGGTAGGAAGGTAATGGTAGCATGAAATCAGGAGGGGAAGGAATTGGGTGGTGCATCTAGTGGATGGGGAGTTCATCTAACAGCAGGCAAGAAGGCTGGCTCTTAAGGTCCAGTCCCAGGGCACCTACCATAGGGGATGAGTACCAATCAGCAGGATTTCTTTACAGGCCTTGGGAGGCGAATTCAGGCAAGAATCAGTACCAGAATATAGGCCCTTTAGCCCTTGGGACTCCAGGCCTTAGTTCACAAGCAGGATGTAGCTCAGCCATCAATTACCTCATGGAAAGAAAGAATAAGTAGCAAAACTTAAGAGGCAAACAAAAGAAAACAGGTCATGACCTGAGCTACCTAAAGATTAGTGAAAAAGAGTGGCGACGTTGAAGCATCCAGAAGTCGCCTTGGGGGACTGTGTGGCTGTATCTGTTTGACATTGAGGGCTATTCCAGGAGCATCATGTGAGCCCAGCATGCAGAGCCAAGCCACAGGATCCTGGCTTGGGGAGAGTGGCTGGGTAGAGGGCCAGCGTGGTTGTTTTGCTACCGTGTCTTGCTATGGACAGGCTGCTTGGGGCAGTTGAGGGGTGGAACCGGCGACCTAAGTGCCCAAGCTGTGGGGAATAGGAGAAGGTCAAGTCAGACAGGAAGGGAGCCACTGGTTTGGACAAACCATGTCTGGCAAATGGAGCCACAGCCTTGTGACCATCTTCCATCCCTTGACCACAACTAAATGCTTCCAGACCCGGGGTCAGCAGAGAAGCACAGGGCTAGAGGTCCAAGCACAAGTAAGAACTCTGCCTCTTACCCGCTATGTGACTTTGGGAAAGTTTCTTTATCACCCTGAGCCTCAGAATCCTTATCTATAAATCACCTATAGTCACATACCTACCTGCTTTCATAGGTGTATTGTGAAGAAACATAGATAAAAACACTTTGACAATGTATGAAGTGTGAGAGCTATTTGAAAATGTGTTGTTTACTATGCGTCACCACAATGATGAAGAGAGAAAATATCCTTTTCTCTTTGGGAAGTCCCATTGTGCTTCCTTTATTCTTAAAATATTTAAGAATAAACTTTGCGAGTGTCAGATACTTGAATTGACTTGAAGCCACAAGACTTAGGGATAAGACATGATGCTGCCATTGATTTGCTCTGTGATCTTGCATATAGCAATGAACATCTCTTATCTCAGTTTCTTTACCTGCCTCACAGGGTTGTAAATCAATTCAAATATGATAAAGAGTATGAAAGATCTCTACAAAGTTGTCATACTCTGCAAATAGATTATTTATTTTTGCCATGCAACTATCTTCACTTGTAATCTGGGTCTGGCCCAGATCGTGTAGTATTCCAAGACATAACCTCGAGCCCCACCAAATTACATTTATCTTGCCCATGTGACTGTGACCTCTTTCCAATCATAGCCACAATAACTACTTGGGAAATTGTGATGGCCCGGAGTGACTGCTGGCACTGTGCTGACTGTGGGCAGGTTTCCTGTAATCTGTTGCCTAGGAACGTGGCTGCCCTGTCATTCTGATTTGTCCCCCTGTCATTGCCCGGTCAGCCTTCAGCAACATAACCTCCTGCCAGTCTTCCTGAGGGCAGCAGTGTGACCCTGGCTTAAATAGTAAGGCCCATCTGGGTGTAGATGATGCATGTGGTAGAATTACACATGCACAGAAAGGTTTCCATTTTCCAGGGCATTCTCCCCCAATTCCATTGCTTGATCTGTATTTTCCTCCAGGTTTCTGTGTCTAACTTTCTCTTTAGTCCATGATTCTTGGCCTACGATGTGTGGAGGAGACCCCTTTCAGGTACTAAAGTGTTTTTCCCAAATTTTTTTTTACCCTTCTCTTTGAACTTCAGACACCCAAAAGGAAAGAGGCCAAGAAGAATTGCAGTAGTCCAGGGCTTTGGTTTTATTTGTAGACTCTTTGGGTGTGAGCTAATAATCTCAGCTCCTCCTCCCAGTAACTCTAGCTGGTGAGCTTGAAAGTTAGTATTTTATACCTCAGTTCCTATATCTGCTAATAGGGATGATGTTAGTATCCACCTCACAGAGTATTGTAAAATCAATATGAGAAAATAATGTAGGAAACTGGGCACAGTATCTAGCACAAAAGAATGATTTAGTTAATTGTGTCAGTTGTTACTACTATGATGTCATTTGTTATCTATAACAACAGTAGTTTTCCAACTTGTCTATGAGGAAGTAATTTGAAAGTTATAGAAAAACACCAGTATGGACATTTTGACTCAGTGGATATACTAGTGTTTTGAAGAGTGTAGTTTGCAAACCAAGCCCTGAGCCTGGTATTTGTTACCTCTTTGGACTGGCTCCAGCCTAGCTTACTTGTACTCTACCTGAACCTTGAAATCCTTTCCAATAAGCATGATCCTTGTATCTATGACTTAATTATGTGCCTTCCCAGTTCTACCTTTTTGTTCCTTTTGGTATCAATTAAGCATACTTATATGTGTTCTTGAATTCTCACTATTTTTGGTGGGTTGTAAATTTACGTGGCCAAGAGGGGCTAGTCCTTGGAGAAGTACATCATGCTTGGAAGGATGTAGGAACATCGCAGGAGAGGAAGACATCGGATGAGATGGATTGACACAGTAACTGCGATAATGGGAATAGGTGTGTTCACGTCAGTGAGACCGGCTCAGAACAGAACAGAGTTCAGACCTGTTGTACATAGGGTGGCTATGTGTTGCAGGTGACTCAATGGCATATAACAACAACAATGCCATTTATTTTTAATTCAGTGCCTTCCAAGGTGCTACTTAAATCCCAGCCTATTCTGTGAAGACTTCTTTGACCACTGTCAGATATTTAAGCTTTTTGCTTCTTTTGAACTCTATCTAGCTCATTCCCTGGGAATCTACTGAGACAAGCCCTGGGCTAATTGTGGGCATGTGGTTATGGATAGGACACAGTCTCTGCCC